TCGGACCATCCCTCCCTTCCTTCCCGCTCCCCCCCCCCCCACCTTACCCGCTGCCGTCCCACCCCTTCTTTCCAACGATGGACATCGATTGAAGCATCCGGACTGGACTGGCGCAAAACGAACTGACAACTCAGGCCCCCTCCCAGCCGAACCCAAGAGACTCTGCATGCATGTTTGGAAACAACAGACTCCCCGCGTTCCACCCAGGCCTCACCCAAAGCCGAATCAGAGATACCACTACCGGCAATCGCTTGTGGTTCCCCGGGGTGAGATCACCGCCCTCCGAGTCCTCGCCCTCCGATTCCGATCCCCCCAATGACCAGCTACCGTTGCCAATAACACCCGAGGACCTCTACGACACTCCCATGGCGCCCTTCAACCCTTACACCTACATCCGGTGTCCTTGCTCAGAGCTCAACCCCTACGCAAAGAGGACTCCCGATGTCACCGCCCAGGGCCTGTCTCGCGCCGCTCAGGATGACGACGACCATACCTTTGACCCTCGTGCTGCCCGGTCCAACTACAGCCTCTATCCGCTAGAGTATCTCTCCTTCTGCGAGGACTGCCACCAGATCCGCTGTCCACGATGTGTAGCCGAGGAGATCGTTTGCTACTACTGCCCTAACTGTCTATTTGAGGTGCCAAGTAGCAATATCAGGAGCGAGGGGAACAGGTCAGTAATACCACGGGTGTGTTAATATTAGGATACTTGACTAACATAGACCTTGCCTCAGATGTACACGAAGTTGCTTCCAGTGCCCAATATGCATCGGGCCCCTAGCTGTGAATCACGTCGAGACACCACCAGATCCGAACCAGCTGCTCAGTCCAGACCATGCCGCTTCCTCCCACTCGGGCTCTTACCTCCTGTCATGCTCTTACTGCAACTGGAGCTCTACGGAAATAGGAATCAAGTTCGACAAGCCGAACAGCATCCACATGCAACTAGCCAAGCTACGAAACGGCGGCGAGACGAGGTTAACAGCGAAGGAGCGCAAGGAGCGACGGAAGGAACAAGGCGGCGGCGGCGGCGGCAGCAACAATGGGCAAGGAGAAGAGGACTTGGACACGCTCCTGGACATGGAAACGCAGTTTGCCAACCTCAAGTCCTTCTACCAGAACCAGCTCTCCGACGCCAACGGCACCGGCAAAGCAGGCGGCGATGCCTCGGCCGCCTTGGGCAACCTAGGGTTTGACGCGCCCGCTTCTCTGTCCCGGATCATGTCTCTCTACACCGGCTCCTCCTCTTTGCACGACAAGAAATCCAAGTCCCGGCCAGGCACCATGCGCGAAGCCCTCGCTCCCTCGGAAGGTCTGCAACTAGCCTCGCTCGACGAAACCAGCGCCATCACCGCCCTCCAGGACTTTGAATCCACCACCGGTCTGGACGCCTACTCCTCCACAGCCTCCACGACACAACTCCAATCCCAAACGCCTTACCTCGGCGCCTCGCCCCTCCACGGCCTCACCCGCTTCACCTCCTCGCTGCGTCCGATCCCCTACCTCCTGCGCACCAAGCGCTCCAAACGCTGCCCGCAGTGCCGGCACATCATCAGCAAGCCCGAGAGCAAAGTGACGACGACGCGCTTCCGCATCCGCCTGATAGCAGGCAACTACATCCCGACCATCACCATCAAGCAGCTGATCATACCCGGGCTGACCCCGCCGCCGATGCCGAACCTGCCGCCCGATACCATCGCGCCTCTCCAGCCCGCTCAGTTCGTGCTAACCTTCAAGAACCCCATCTTCGAGTCGGTGCGAGTTACCTTGGCCACGCCAGCTACCACGCCGGGAAGGTTCCCTTCCAAGGTGACCATTCTCTGTCCTCAATTCGAAATAGACTCCAACACGGACGTCTGGGAGGAGGCGCTAAAGGATAACAATACCTCTTCTGCTTCTACTTCTACTTCTCAACAAAACCTCTCCAGCTCCACAGGCCCCGAAGGCGGACCAGGTCGTAAGCGCGCTGGCACGTTACGACCCGGAACGGCGGGGGGCGCAAGTCTCGCGGGTGAGGAGCTGGGTCCGGAAGTAGGCAAAGTGTGGGAGAAGGGCAGGAACTGGACGAGTATCGTGATTGAGGTTATCCCTGCTAGTCTGGTGCAGACGGCCAAGAGGGATGGCAAAGGTCCGATAAAGGAGGATGAGGACGTGCTGGAGATACCCATGTTTGTGAGGATCGAGTGGGAGGCGGAGGCGCCCGAGGATGAGATCATGCCTGGGTTGAGCGGCGCCAAGGGAGGGAATAAGGATGGTGGGAAAGAGAAGAGGGAGTTGGCGTATTGGTGTGTGTTGGGGTTGGGAGGGTTGCGAGGACGTTGTAAGAGGGGGTTTGTTTGTGGGAGGTCATGATGACAGTACGTACGTGTGTGGTTAGGTCGGTGAGATTCAGGGGTAAAAGGGTAATAATGATGTTTACGACTGAAGATATGTATGGTTCACAAGGTTTGTGTGTGATGACGGCGTTTAAAAGGAATGTAACAAAAATAGAAATGTAGGACAAGTACCACGAACATGGATCACAAGCACAAGGTGCAAAGATGAACAAGATATATCCCACAATCCATAACGCAGTAGTATTTGAATGTTGGCGTTAATAGTGCACAACACAAGGGATAACAGGTAGTAGGGGGAAACCTATGCCTGCCCTTTTTCAGAGCGAGCTAGCTAGACGCCGTTCCTTTTGTACTGCCATGCATGCATTGCAAGAGAACCGAACCCGAATATCTATCAAAGCCCTAACCCGATATAATCACCCCTTGAATGAATGCTCCAAAGCCCTTTTTAGACACTCAAACGCCCATTGCGTGAACCGCTTAGTACTCAGCAGTGGTCTGGGGGAACTCGAAGATGACACCACGGCCGGTGAGGCGGCGGTAGACCTCAGAGTAGGTGTCGAGGCGGTAGTCGACGGAGCCGCGCTCCTTCTCGTCAAGGACGACCTTGAGGGTCTTGGAGCCGTCCTCCTTGGTGCGGAGACGCTTGCCGACGATCTCGACGGGGAAGACGAGGTCGGTGAGGATAGCGTCGTGGACGGCAGTGAGGGTGCGCGAACGGGGACGCTTCTGCTTGAGGGTGTTGCGGGAGCGGGTGGAGCGCTTGGGGCGGGGAAGGATGCGGCGAGAAGCGAGGATCAGGACGTGGCGGTCAGAGAACTTCTTCTCGAGCTCACGGGTGAGGCTGGACATCATCATGTTAGAAATCACTGCGAGAGTTTTTGATGTTGATATGAAGAGGTAAACTTACCGCTGCTGGACGCGGTGGAAGCCCTGCAGGGAAGGGACGGGGACAAAGATGACAATAGCCTTCTTGCCGTGGCCAACCTCGATCTATTCCAGACCAAAAGTCAGCATGCGAGCTCCAGGAATGACATGTGGGTAATATCAATCCTTGGACCGCTCCCGTCCTATTCCGCGGCGCGCTGTATGGTATTTCTGTATGTGTATATATGGTCTCTGGGCGCGAGCAAAGCAACAGACACGACACACGCGCTGCGAGTGCCCATGGTGATCAAATGTCCATTTTCCAGGAAATCATCATCATGCACCTCTCTCTGGGCACCGCTGCTCGCTCTGTGTGCTTGCTGGCTGGCTGCCGGCCCCTAATCCAATATGCTCATATCATATTTCCCAGAAGCGACTCTTCGGCTCGAGGCGAAAAAACGTATTTTTGAGTGTCTTTCTCGCTCTCGTGGTGTGCGCCGACGCCGGAACAGGAACTCGGAGAAGTCTTTCGGTTTGCGTGTTTTTCGTGTAGTGTCGAGAATTTCATACCTCACGGGCAGAGACGAACTGAAGGGGGCGGAGAGCACCCTTGAGGTCGGCAGTGTTGGACTCAAGGTCATAGAGGGCGCCAGCAATGGCGGTCTCAAGCTCAGAGGGGTTCTGGCGAGAGGGGCTGTTGGCCGCGATCTTGTTGAGCTGAGGGGCAGACATTTTGGCGATTGTCGATATCGGGTCGATCGGTCGGTCGTCGTCGATTGCAAGAGTCTCGAAGAGCGGCCGTCGTGATGGACTGCGAGTAAGAAAAGTTGGATGGGTCCAACCCAATTTGCGGAGACGTGCCAAGACTAGGGCTCGCAAACCCTCTGCTTATCGTTGGGTGAATTGGTTGGTCTAGTTGATAAGCTGATAAGGCGCGCCTTGGCCATTTTGGATGTTCGATCAAATGGGCAGGCGGTGTCAGTTTTCAAGAGAGCGGCAGAATGCTTTCCCCTTGACCCCACAGCAAGTGGGTGGCCCAAGCTCCAATTCGTAAGTTTCGGGCCAAAGACAGAGCGAGGTCCAACTCATTGCACCAAACCAAGACAAGGTTCATCGTTGCGACAATCAACGCGCGCAACACACCCGACGCGTTTAACACCTTGACGGCAACCACAACCTCACAATTACTTGCAACGCAATGACTTCAGAAGACAAGCAAACTCCTGCGGGAGCAGCAACGACAACCAACCAACCTCAAGCGTCGGCCTTTTCCCTTCCGCTCCTCTACCGACTCTTCTTCCTCCTCATCGAACCTCTCTCCGCCCTCCTCGGCGCATTCTACGCCTACTTCGACAAGAAGACCTACCTCGAGCTCACGCATGCTGCCTCTGCTCCTGGAACGCCAATTCCCCTGGGGACGTCGATCGTGCTCTCCCAGCTCGCCAACCTGTACCTCTTCTTCGCCATCAACGAAGCCCTCGTGCTGCGGTCCACCTCGGACATCCGCGTCTGGAAGACCGTGCTCTTCTGTCTGTTGATTGGCGACATCGGACATCTCTACACGGTTCGCGAGTTGGGATTGAACATCTACTGGAGTCCGTCAACGTGGAATGCGATCGACTGGGGCAACATACCGTTTGTCTATCTTGGCGCGTCCATGAGGATCGCCTTTTTGGCCGATGTGGGCTTATATAAGTCGGGGAAGAGGTTGCAGAAGAAGAAGAGGACGGCTTGATTTCCGGTGGATAATACCTAGGAGTCGTGGTCAGATAAAAGGCGTGGTAACGGGCTGGGCTGAGCGATTGCAGCAAGCGCTTCAGAGTTTTGGATATCAAAGAGTTGGAGCGACATGACATCCATATATGCCAGGAACCAATGCTGTTGAAGCTCCCGTAAGCTTGGAGAGAGCCCTTCTATTGCTGAAAAGGCGCGCTTCAATGGGTCGTCGGAGGTCAGCAAAGAAGTAAGTCGTTTGCTTCGCCGAATCCGAGCCATCAGCAACCACGGACAATGCGACGATATGATTCGTGGATAAATAGAGTTACACCCTGAAAACCCTTAGCAGCTTTAGCTTCCTGTCCCCGTGGGGCTATCACTGAACCCTTTTCTCCAGAAACGACACTTTTACCCGTACCTATCGCGGGGCATGGCGGGGGTTACTGTACAGAAAACATGACGGAGATCTTTCTCTCACCATGTTTCTTTCTCCTTTGATAGGATTGAATAACCCAGGCAGGCACAGGAGTGTGATGTGATGGATCCGCCAGAGTGGGTAGGAATCCCGAGATACCACCCAGGAAATGGGTAAAGCCGGCGTATGTACGTGTACGCCTTTCCAAGTGACGGAACTGCCCTGCCCCTCCTCCCCCTCCTCCCCCTCCTCCCCGCCTCATGGGCAAAAGATTCCCGAGAAGAAGGGCGTGTCCCCCGGCTGAATTGTTATAAGCAGGCAACGGCAGTGGTGGGGGAACAGTTCCGAACTTGCTCGGTTCCGTTTGACCGTTGTTTCTGTGTTGTTGATCTTCCGCGTGTTCCGTCAGTCTGCTACTTATACCTCGAGGACCCCGTCATGTAGTGTAGTTCTAGTTGTGTCCCGTTTCCATCATACGTCCTCCCTCCCTTGTTTTTGTCAAGATACACCTCCAACATCATGTCTGTCCCCGAAAAGTTCACCGGCTTCCAGGTCAACGGCCCCGAGACCTGGACCGAGTTCCACAAGAACGAGTTCCAACCCAAGCCCTTCGGTGACTACGACGTCGATATCAAGATCGAGTGCTGTGGTGTCTGCGGTAGCGATGTCCACACCATCAGCGGCGGTTGGGGCGAGCAAAAGTTCCCTCTTGCTGTTGGACACGGTATGGCCTTGCTCTACATATCTTTCACCCCTCTGTAAGCCAGCTTGTGGACCAACTTACTGACAGCCCCGTCCATAGAAATTGTCGGAACCGCCCTTCGCGTCGGTCCCAAAGTGACGCTCATCAAGCCCGGCCAGCGCGTCGGCGTAGGCGCTCAGTCCTACTCCTGCCTCGACTGCCGCCAGTGCAAGAACGACAATGAGACCTACTGTCTCAAGCAACTAGACACTTATGGCGCCGTGTGGCCTGAGACCGGCATCGTCAGCCAGGGCGGTTACTCTTCTCATGTTCGCACTCATGAGCACTGGTTCGTCTATACCTTCTCCCCCCTTCTCCCCCCTTTACACCCCCTCCACCTCCCCTCCCATCTTCCTTCCCAGCCATACTAACCCCTCTTAACATCCAGGGTCTTCCCAATCCCCGACGCCCTCCCCTCCACCGTCGCCGGCCCCATGCTCTGCGCAGGTCTAACCGCCTACTCCCCCCTGGTCCGCAACGGGTGCGGCCCCGGCCGCAAGGTCGGGATAGTCGGGCTAGGCGGCATCGGGCACCTAGGTCTTTTATTCGCCAAAGCCCTCGGCGCATCGGTCTACGTGATCTCGCGGACCCATTCCAAAGAAGCCGACGCCCTGGCCATGGGCGCCGACGGCTTTTTGGCGACTTCCGACCCCCAATGGAACGAAGCGCACATTATGACGTTTGACCTCATCATCAACACGGCTAACAGCTTCGAGGGGTTCGATATCGATGCGTATCTGAGTCTGCTGGATGTGCATGGGAAGTGGGTTAGTGTAGGATTGCCGGAGGATGAGGAGGGGATTAGGGTGCGGAATCAGACGTTTTTGAAGAATGGGTGTTTTTTTGGGAGCTCGCATTTGGGGAGCAGAAAGGAGACGTTGGAGATGTTGCAGCTTGCTGCTGAGAAGGGCGTCAGGACTTGGGTGGAGGAGGTCAAGATCAATGAGGGGAATCTGAAGGGGGTTATGGAGAAGATGAAGGGGGCTGGGGGCAGGTATCGGTTTTGTTTGACGGGGTATGAGGAGGCTTTTGGGCGGTAGATTAGGGGCCTTGGAGGGTTGGGAGGCTTGCGGGGGGTAGATGAGGATAGATGAGGGGTTGAGTTCAAAAAGAGGATAGAGCAATGGGATTGTAAAAGGATAACTCGATCAAGATCACTTTAAGGGCCAGAATGTTGGATGGATGTTTTGGTAGTGAATTTGGTCGAAACTCCTTCGACGTCATCTAAATGGATGGGGGTTTGAAGACACTAACTTAACCTCTGACAGATACTTAAGGCAATGAGAGTTTGGTTTTTGTTCATGTCATCAGGGAATATGGAGCGTCGAGACACTGGGAGAGATTGACTTGCCTTCTGGTCATGCCGTCATGAGGTATTGATAGCACCTTGTTACATTAGGATACCAGGCTGTGCATCCAAGTACTGCCTCACGGAACAGTTCATCATAACAGCGGTCGGGTACCAAGACCTGTCTAAGTAAATAACTACTGTCATGATGATGCTCTATCATCACACATCTCACTAGGGGTATGTATGTCTTGTCTACAGAAACCAAAAACGCCAGAACTCCGCTCTATGCAATTGCGGACTGTAACCCCAATTCTAAAACCCCAATGCAAAATATTTGTTTACCATATACCCAGGGGAGCAGAACTCAAAAAAAAGCTGAGTAAACAAATGTCTCTTCGGCAACGAGCAGCTGAAACGAAGGTTTCTAGTGGAGTGTCCACCTTCACCACTGTTCCAAACCTCCAAGGTCGCGTTGCCACTTGACTAAACTCGACGGTTCCACCTCAAACCCCTGAATCAGGAGTGGGTGGACGTCCACAGTTCGCAAAAGCGAAAAAGCCCTAGCAAAAAATTTAGCGAGAGATTCCCTATGAGGAGTGAATGAAAGACGAAGAAGGAGTTGATGCTCACCAGAGATGATTTGCCAAAGTAACTATTATGAAGGGGGTATATATGTCTAGTAGTAGTAGTGTAGTAAAACAAAAGAAGCGCACCATCTACTAATCTAGCGAAAAGTTACTGTAAAACGATTGAAGCAAAAATAACGCCACGTTCCCCAAAGCTGATTTAAAAATGCAACCACCTTTTCCGTAAACCCGTCATTTCATGCCCTTTTGAAAAGCTTTTCCCTTTTTCTTTTTTCTCCGAATTCTCGCACTGCGCTGCTGCTGCTGCTGCTGTGTCCAATGCTCATGTTTCATGTCATCAGAGGGGACGGTCTTGAGCGGTAACCAAAGTTGGTGATGTTGTCGAACCGAAGGTCGGTGGCTTGCTGCTGACCATGGGTGTGACTGGCCTCAGAAACTGTGGCTGACACTGTAGTCCTTCTCTTAAATTGGATCCGTGCCCTTCGTTGCGGGCGACTCCTATGCATCGTAATCGTGCGACCCTCGCCTTCTTTTGTCCAAGATTTAGAAGTGGGCGCCGTTGGTACTCCCGTTGGCGACACCGGCATCCTTGAGGATCTCCTTGGTGATCTCGTCGAGGCAACCAATAGCGGCGGCAACGAAGCCGAGGAAGGGGCGGGAGGGGTCGAGGACACGGCTGGTATACTCGGGGTGGTACTGAACACCGACGTAGTAAGGGTGGTCCTTGATCTCAACAACCTCCATGCGCTCGTTGGTGTCGTCCTTGCCGATGAAGATGAGGCCGGACTGCTCGAGCTTGTCAATGTAGTCGGGGTTGACCTCGTAACGATGACGGTGACGCTCCTCGATGCTGGTGGCCTCGCCGTAGAGAGCGCGAAGCTTGCTGAACTCGGAGCCGGGCTGGAAGTGAGTGGTACGGGTGCCGAGACGCATAGTACCGCCAAGCTTCTCCTTGGAACCCTCGGGCATGAAGATGATGACGCGGTGCTCGGCGTTGGCGTCGAACTCCTCAGAAGTGGCGTCCTTGAGTTCGCAAAGGTTGCGGGCAGCCTCGATAACGGCAACCTGCATACCAAGGCAGACACCGAGGAAGGGGGTCTTTTGCTCGCGAGCCCACTGGGCGGCGCGGATCATACCCTCGGTACCACGGTGACCGAAGCCGCCAGGGACGAGAATGCCCTTGGCGACGCAGACGTCGTGCCAAGCCTTGTGGTACTTGGTGGGATCCTCCTTCTGGGTCTTCTCCTCGAGGTGCTCGGAATCAACCCAGATGAGGTTGAGCTTGCGGCCGCAGCGCATGGCGGAGTGCTCAAGAGCCTTGATGACGGAAAGGTAAGCATCGTGAAGCTCAATGTACTTGCCGACCAAGACGATGTCGACGGTCTCGGCGTAACCGAGGGGAACAATCTTCTGCCACCTGGCCCAGACCTCCTGGCCCTGGGTGACACGAGCGGGGGAGAGCTTGACGTCGCTGAGCTTCAGGGTCTCCTTAAGTTCTCTGAGCAGGCCCTGCTCCTCGAGGAGAAGAGGAACCTGGTAGATGGTGGGCATATCGCGAACGGCAAGGACCTGGTTGACCTCGACCTGGCAGCTGGAAGCGACCTTGTTGATGGTGCCCTGCTCAAGGGGCTTCTCACAACGGCACGCAATCTGTACAATGTGTTAGAGCAAGTGAGATCATCAGCCGATTAATGAGGTACTGACCAAGTCGGGAATGAGACCAGCACTCCTGACGCTCTTGACAGCGTGTTGGGTAGGCTTCGTCTTCTGCTCGCCGTTGACGACGGGGACGTAAGAGACGTGAATGTTGATGAAGTTGTTCTTGCCAGCTCTGTGACGGAGCTGAGTGAGGGCCTCAACGAAAGGCATGCTTTCAATATCACCAACAGTACCACCCTTTGAGCCGTTAGCAGACGTCATGGCTGATGATGACAGTGGATCAAACATACCAACTCGATGATGCAGACATCGGGCTCCTCGCCAGACTTGTCGACAGGTACCTTGGAGACACGGTTGATGGTGTCGATGATCGCGTCGATAACGTGAGGTACAACCTGGACAGTGCGGCCGAGATACTTGCCCTTGCGCTCGTTCTCGATAACCTGCTGGTAGACCTTGCCGGTGGTGATGTTGTTATCGCGGGCAAGGTCGACACCGAGGTAACGCTCGTAGTTGCCGAGATCCAGATCGGTCTCGCCACCATCGTGGAGGACGAAACACTCGCCGTGCTCCTTGGGGTTCATGGTACCGGCATCAACGTTGATGTAGGGATCAATCTTGATGGCAGTGACCTTGAGGCCGAGGGTCTTGAGGAGAAGACCGCATGATGAGGCTATTGATAAGTGTTAGTGATATCAAGTCCTGAACTGAGATATGTGATATACGGGCTTGTTCATCGTGTGCATCATTGAGAGAGATGTTGAGATGGTGTCACAGACACAGGGCCAGTTTTCATGATTTTTGAATTGGCAATGCATCCATTGTGAGTGACTCCATACGTATGAGTGAGATTGAGGATGGTTGTAGTGGTTGTTGTTGTTGTTGTTCATCATCAGTATGTTGAGAAGAGAAAGACTGCCTACCAATAATTCCCTTGCCAACTCCACTCACAACACCTGGATAAACGCAGACAAGTTAGAAAGAGTGTTCATATGAGATTATTATTTATTTTCTATTGTTTACATACCTCCTGACACCAGAACGAACTTCATCTTGGGCGATGAGGGGAAAGCGTTAAATGACGACAAAAAGGAGGGACTTTAGTGGATTTGGACGGGGCCACTCGATGGGATCGATACTGGAATAAGGAAATGAAGAGAGTAAAGAGTATGGACAAGCAACGGAATGGGAAATAAAAAAGGGATGTCGTCAAGTCACTCAAAGTTTGGTGTCGCTGTCGCCCGCGTGTTGCAGCGGGAAGAAAAAAAAAATGAGAATGGAGAATGGAGGGGCTCCAGCGGCGACCGATAAGGTTCCCTGGCGCCGTGCACAGACCATCACTGAACTGAACTGCAGCCGAGACCTTGACGGGCGCAAACCCGACAAATGGGTGGGCGACGGTGATGCCCGCCCTTCACTGCAAAAGCAAAACGAACCCCGTGAAGTGCGTGCACTCCCCTCCATCGATCAACCCGGCTGGCGCGCTTCACGCGAACGTCTCAGATCGAGAACAGGCCTGGAACGTTGCAGGCACCCATCAGGCAGCGGTCCAGGCAGCGACCACCCGGTCTCAGGGCCCAGTCCCGAGAAAGCCGGCCCTGCCCGGACACACAGACGGATTTTTGAATTGTCCGAGCAACCATCCAGGCACCGGCGATGTGGGGTCCCAGCGGTGCACAGCGGTGCACATGCCCGTCCCCGACCCGACCGGTTGTCGCCGGGCCTTCCCGTTACATTCGGCGAACAATCACATCGACCTCGTGAACGGGCCGTTGCATACATTACGGTACAACCTTGCACCATCTCATTCAAGTCCTCTTCCCATGCTTTGGTAACTCGAAACCTCAAAAGTTAAATTCAATTCCCTCACGCCTTGTCTGGCGCATTCACCCAGACAATTTGGTATCTCCTCCCGAAATCCCAATGATTGACGCCTGCAGTGCTGCACAAATGCAAATCCATTCACCATCATCAAAACAATCGCTCCCCTCGCGCAGACTGATGCATCCAGCACACCAGCCGCCATGCACCATTTCTGCAGCCCAAATGCACCAAACCTCAAATCATAAAATCACAAATCACAAATCACAACTTCCACTCCAACTCCCTTTTCTCACCTTCTTCCTTAACCCCCTCCCAAACCCATTCCAAAACCCTCTCCCACACCCAATCCCCATCATGTTCCCTCTCCATCAACTCCTTCACCTCTTCCACCACTTTCTGGTCATTTAAATCCCACCCCACCACCTCGCCGCGTCTCTAATCTTTAGCTTCGCCGCCTTTGCATCCTTCTCCGGATGGCCCTGAAACGTCAAGACGCTGTTATCGTCTGAGAGGAGACATTCGTTGTTGGCGAGTAATTGGTGGAAATTGGGTGGTGTAGAGACGAGTTGTCGACGGTGGTGTTGATGAAGTCTTAGCGAGCTCTTCTTTTCGTTGTTCTCTCCTTTATCTTTTTCTGCTGTTGATGCTGATGTTGATGTTGTTGATGATGGTGATGATGATGGTGATGCTGATGGTGGCCTTTGTCCTCGGTTATTAATTCGGTCATTGAAAAATCGTAGCCCAGCGGGTGTGAGTTTTGAGTCTGTTACTCCTAGCTGTTTTTTCCAGACACGTCAGTCGTCTCCTCTTCCTTGCTTCACGAGGGGAAAGGATAACGGAGTGAAGGAAAACATACCTCAGGCCTCCCCATCTCCCCCACCTCCCCACTCCCCATCACCATCCCCAGCGTCTGATGTCCCCAACAGACCCCCACCATCTTTTTCCGCGGCCACTCCCTTCTCGTCTGCCGTATGAACTCATGCACCCTCAATATCCACGCATGTCTCTTTCTCGGGTCGGCGTTCCCCCCTCCGATAACGATCAGGTCAAAGTCCGCCGGGTCAGGTAGGAATTCATTAATCCTCCTACTGCGGGCCTTAGCCCTTGCCTTACTCCCAGGGCCCCCATCCGAAGACTCGGAATCATCCGAACCCCGAAGAAGTTCATTGGAACAATCCGATGATAACGAAGCATCATCTGATTCGGACCCATTACACCCGTCCTGGTCGTTGTTGTGAGGACCTTGCGGACAGCAGTAGAAGTTGTCGGCCGGATAAAAGAAGGAGAGTTTTGGATCGAAGCGGCAGGTGGGTGATTGACTCAGAGAAGTGAAGCAGCGCGTGTAGGAGTCGCGGATGGAGGAGATGTGCGGGGAGCGGTAGGAGTTGAGGAGGATGGCGATTCGGAGGGGGATTTTGCTTGTTTGGTTTTCGTCATGTTGGGTGTTGCTTTCGTCGGTATTGGTGTTGTTGTGCTGGTGAGGGTTGACCTCATGATGAAGAGGACCTCTCGGAGAGTAGTCGGTTGAGGCGGTCATGTTGAATGGCCGCTTGGACGGGGTGTGTGCAGTGTGCAGTGTGCAATTCCTTTTGTGTCGTTCAGAAGTAGCGCGGTAGGTCAAGTTCGACGACGGATTGGATCGGATCGTAGAGTCCGAGACAGAGGTTTGTAAAGTGGAAAATGGAAAGTGGGGAAGTGGAAGCTTCTTCTTTCAAAAGTCTTCTTTTGTTTCAATCCGTCGTTGTACGTAACCAAATGATCGATCAGGGGGGTGGCCGGGGGGAGGCTTTCAACAATCGGCTATGTTAACCGAGTTTACAATGGACGTCAGCTGACAGCTTTTTTCTGTGTTGCTCCTTGTTCCTTTAGTAATGGTATTCAAATCCCTTTTCAGGCAGGAGACGATGGAGGGAACCCTGGTATGTATTTGATCGAATACCGAACGGGAGGTCGGGGGAGCTGTCAGGAGCTGGGAAGAGATCTTGGTGATTGCTTGGCAAGGCACGGCAGTCAACTCCTGGATGATCAATGATAAATCGATCCAAAGTCCACCCCAGTCACCGAAGCAAGCAATGGCAGAACTGCCGAATTTCGGTTGATCATAAGATAGGATTTGCGAAAGGCTACGAGAAGGGTTTAAGGCGGACGGCCAAGACCCGATTCTCACCTATCCACTGGATGACGTTTTTGGGGGGGCTTTAGGGAATGTTTAGTGATGATGACATCATGGCAGCTGAAAGTCACGACGGGACTGATGAGTGAACTTGGGATGATTGGTTTCAACTGTATTTTAGAACTAGTCCAATCTGTGATCTTGACACTATGTATCATCCAGTGGCTTATACGGAGGAAAGCATCTCCGGAAGGAATCAGGGCGCATTTTTTATTTTTTTCCAAAAATTAGTGCCTCGAAATCATGAAGTTTTCAAGTTGTCGAAGAGGCTGAAGGGGGGGGGCTGTTGTCACTTGTCAGATTCCATCCCGCACCGCGCCGTATTGGTGCAGAGCTGAAAGATCACGAGCACGCTTCAGAAAAGAGATGACATTCAGGAGAGAAACGCAGAATCACATAAAGTGAAGCGAAGCAATCAAATGCCATACTGCCCTGCTGCCATGTCCGCTGTCCGCTGTCCGCTCAGTGGGTCATCCCGCACCGCACCCGCCGCACCGCATCTGTGCATTTTGCGGGGCGTCCCGCAATTGCTTCGGCAGATTAGGTCCCTTTCGACATGGATACCTCTATGGGTCTGTTAATTCTGCTTGGAGGGGGGGATGGGATGACAGCATCGTTCGGATGGCAGCATTTTTCGGATGACAGCTCGTAGCTGAACAATATGAGTAATTGATAATAACACAATCGATTGACCGAGCGGTCAAGAGAGGAGTGTTTAGTTAAAGTGAGTTTATAACACACTCTCTGCAGACTGTAATAGCTGGTGAAGACCCAGTCAACCATGAGAAAGTCAAAGAACCGCAACCATCACACATCAACATCAAGAACCAAAACATTTGTATCAGGGCCCAAAGGCGCCTGCCCTTCTTCATTATTATGTCCTTTTGCAGGTATTACATAACATCATACATACAAGAAAAATATATATCGTTCGTCAACATCTTCTCCACATTCATTATATGCATCCAATCATTTCAATATTCAACAATTACCCTCCTTTTCCATGGGGATATCATCATCATATGCACTACTGCCTCAAATTAAGCAGTAAACTCCCTCTTGTTCTTCTTGGCATACTTGATAGAGAAGCTCTCAGTAGTCTGCGTCTCCCAGTCCTGGGGCTTCCTGCTGTTACCATAGATCTTGAGCGCCCTGAGGGTGATCTTGTAAGTGCCAGCGGGCGCGTAGGAGCCATCGGAGAGAGCACCGTCCCAGTTCCACTCAAAGGTGCCGCGGGGGTTCCAGTACGCGGGGAAGGTGAGGACCTGGCCGATGGTCTTGCCCTTGGCGTTGACGACGTCGGCGCGGACCTCGGCGGAGCCCATGGCGAGGGTGAGCACGACGGTCGGGTAGACCGTGTTGGCGTACTGGGTCTCGTTGGCCTTGCCGGCGGGGGGGAGGGTAAAGACGGTGCCGGCGGCGACGGGCGCGAGCGCGGCGTCGCTGGACTGGCTGAGGTAGCTGTACTGCTTGTCGAGGACGGTGACGGCCTTCATGCTGCCGACGACGCCCTGGTAGGGGAGCGAGTAGCCGGTGGAGTCGGTGCCGTTGAGGGTGATGTAGCCGGAGTAGACGGGGAGGCGCTTGGCATCGAGACCCTTGGGAGGGATGGCGAGGACGGTGACGGTCTTCTTCTGGCCGGGGTTAAGAGTGAGCTTGGCGGGGGTGATGACGAGGGTAGCCTTGTTCGCGACCAGCTCGTTGGGGAAGTCGGCGGGGTCGATCGTGTTGGCGTCTGCGAAAGTGTAGGCGGTAGCAGCGCTGGTGTGGCCGAGCTGGTAGGTGACGGCCTTCTTGCCAGTGTTGGTAACCTCGAAGCTCTGGAGGGGCTTGATGTTCGCGGTGTCGTTGAAGGAGATGCTGGAGATGCTGAGAAGGGCGTTGGCGTTGGCAGCATCCCAAGCCTGGATCAGACCAGCACCCTGCTGGGCGACGGGGGCAAGCATGGGATAGGTCGTGGTGCCATCGTTGAAGAGGTTAGGGTGGGCAGTGGCAGAGAAGAGGTTCTCGAGGACTCTGGGGTCCTTGGTGCCACGCTTCTGCATGACAAGGGCCCAGGTGGCAGCAGCAAGAGGGCAGGCCATGGAGGTACCGGAAAGGACAGCGTAAGAGCCGAGAGCACGGGGGTAGGTGGAAAGGATCATACCGCCGGGAGCAGAGATCTGGGGCTTGACATCAATCTCGTAGGTAGGGCCCCACGAGGTATAGGTGCTGAGGAAGCCAGCGGTATTGGGGTTGGGGAAGTTGCTGAGGTTCTTGGGGGCGGTCTCAGGGTCAGCCATGTTGACAATGACCTCGGAGCCAGCCTGAAGGGCCTTGATCCAAGCGGCGCCGGTCTCAGAAGTGACCATAGCAGAGCCCTGGATGCCAGCGACGGCGCTGATATCGACCTTGGTAGAACCAGCGGCGTTGTTGTAGAAGATGATGTACTTGGCTCCCTTGGCGGCAGCGTTCTGAGCCTTCTGGACGAAGGTGCAGCTGCCACGACGGATGAGAGTGATGTACTTGGAGAGGTCAGGGGTGTTATCGGGGAAAGCCTCGCAGCCGTTGGCGGCATCGGTAGTGTCGAAGTTGACAGACCAGACAGGAAGGCTAACATTGGCCCAGGCGCTGGGGGTACCAGCGGTAAAGCCGAAAGCCGAAGCGGAGCTGCCGGCGACGGAGTAAGTGCCCTCGCTGAGAAGAGCAGGGGCAATGATGTTGTCGACAGAGCCGACAGCAGTGACCCTCTTGCCGTTGGCAGCAGTGGAAGCGTAGAAGATACCCTCATCACCACTGTTACCAGCAGAGACAAGGCAGGGAACGCCCTTCTCGACGATCCTGCTGACGACGGCAGCCCAGGAGTCCTCGGGCCAACCAGAGGCACCACCGATGGAGGCAGTGATGATGTCAGAGCCATCATCGTAGGCCTTGAGGTAAGCCTCGATGAGGATATCGTTACCGACATCACCATCGCAACCGAACACACGGTAAGCACCGAGGGTCACATCGGAAGCGGCACCAATGATGCCGTAGGGGTTGTTGGTCTTACTAGCCACTATACCAGAGACATGTGTGCCGTGACCCTGGCAGTCCATTGGGTCGGGATCAGGGACGGGAGTGTTGGAACCGTTGAAGTCGTCACCAACCAAATCGGCACCGTAGGAGACCAAGCAGCCAGCACCGAAGCAGCCGCCGAGGGCAGGATGAAGGTAGTCGATACCAGTGTCGATAACGGCGACCTTGATGCCCTTGCCAGTAATGCCGGAGTCCCTGAACTTGTTGACCTGGGTCATCAAGTGAGGAGTGAAGGTGTCCTTGGCGGTATCACGCTTGGCGACAACCTCCTGGACGGAGCTGCCAGTATAGTGGACGGTGTGCTCGGGGACGGAGTAGCGGCGGACAGGGTACATGGCCTTGACACCAGACATGGCAGCAATCTTGCCGGCCAGGTCCTCGGCCTTGTCGAGGTCCTTGAACTGGAAGGAAGCACCCTTGAAAAGCTCATGGCGAATATCCTTGCGGATGGTGGCATCGCCCTTGATGGAGTTAAGGATAGAAGCAGCCTAGCGAGCACAAGTAGTTAGTATAAGGCATTCCTCGTTCCTTAAGGGCATCTCCAACTTACATGGCTATCCTCGTACTCGACGATATAGGCACCAGGGACGACCTTGGGAGCCTTGTGGTGGGCAGCTTGGGCGAAAGACGCCGCAGCCAGGAGCGTCGTGGCCAAACCAAGACGAACCATGATGAATGATGGCTTTCTCACTTGTGGCAGAGAAAGAAAGTCAAGAATTAAGAGGGGAAACCACCGTCGAAGAGCGAAGCAGCTGCGAAGTAGACTGACGGCTGCAAGATCGTCTCGGCGCTACACTCGTAGGTCTTGAGCAGGCGGAAGGCGAGGCGGCGCCATGGTATATATGCACTTTGTGTATCACATAGTGGATGGCATGGTAGCCTCCATCCACGTTGACGATGTTCGGTACACGGAGATCAGAGCCCAGTTTAGAGGGGGAGCAAAAGAGGCGACCGGGGTAGTATGCGGGGGGCGCTACCGGAAGCAAGCCAGGTCAGGAAGGACGACAGAAGGTCGACCAGGGCATGGCGAGCAAATGGCGGCCGAATTTAACCAGGCATTCGACCAGGGCCTTATCTGGGCAGAATTGATTAAGCTTATTGGACCATCTGCACCGGCCCGGGCAAGACGGGTGTAAAGTCGAGAAAGGGGTGGGTTCGCCCGCTATGAAGGCGTGCTTCTGGCACCTTTCTCGACGAGGCAGGTCGGCCTCTTGACGATGGTCGGTACAACTCCAAAGTGGCCGACTGCGGTGGCCAAGAGGACATCCGTAATTTTAATTTACCGGAGGGCGAATTTTGTTCGACCTTCTTGTCTTCTTACACGGGACGGCGGCGTAAAAATGCTACTGCAGAGCAACGGTACCAGTGAGGCATGTCTTGGCTCTTTGGCTTGAATATGGGAATAGCACAATGAGTGAGCGCATGAGACTAGGCAATGGGACGCTGCTGTGTTCGCATGGGGATGGATGATCTCGTTTGCGAAGATCCTTCTGCAATGCAGGTTGCCCTGTGTCTTTTGACATGTCCAAGTCCGACCATGTTCCCGTCAGTTGCTATGATCCGATGTCTGGGCGTTGTATATTAGACTTTGGTAACGACCTGCAGACAGGGTTACGGCAACAACACCAAAGAGAAGCTGGAAAGTCCCATGTCAACAACAACAAACACCCAAGATCTCGGATACGGACTTGGCAATGCGAAGCTTTCTTACCTTCCTCTTTCCTAACGTCTTTAGTAATTGCTTGACCTTGCCGAGACTTTTTCCCTCACGGCTTTTGTAGTGTAGTTTTCGGCGACTTTTTGTCATCAGTTGGCTAGATCCTACTAGTCTTGGTGGGTAGCTCGGCAACTTTAGCGCCACGGCAGCTGCCTTTCGCACGATCGATCCGCCAAAGTACAGTGATGATGGTTGACTGCACAGTTTGGTCGTCCAGAGCCACTGATTGAAGTGGTGGCTCCAGTTCATTGCCTCAAGATTTCGGCGCCAGCAGAGAAATACATGGCGAGTTTCTTTTTCCTGCTCTTCTAGACGAGATGTGTGTGGTTTGAATGGCTTCCTCTTGCAGAGTAGGAGTCGGAGGCGAATCGGGGAATTTGTACAATGTAAAGCAAAGCAGAGCCTCGGCCAGAAGCACAGTCACCACGTTCTTGGGTGGTACCTGGAGGGGGTAAAGGGTGCAATGGCAGGCTCGAATAGGCAGTTGCGATGCCATCAACTGCTGCTATTGAAATTTGAGTGTTCCTGCGTCGCCCCGCTGCCACAGAATCCCACTGACTAGGCTCACTAGAGGAACAATGACACCCTGTCTCTGCAGTGGACGGAATGCTTGGAAAGGCCTCCAGCGGACGAGACCGATGCCAATGACACCCACCCACGAAGCTACCCCCCGGGATCACGACCGGAAGAGCAGGTCAAGGGCTTCAATAAAAGGCCAGAGGACCTGCTAAAACCGGACAGCGAAGGCGAATGCGTTATCCTGGGACTCCTTGATTTCATGGGGTCGTGGTTCTCGAGAAGGCAGCTGGACAGCAGGTTGGAAATTAGACGATACCATCAAGAGGCGAGATGTTCGGATGCTTCACGTTGTGTCATGTGGCATCGCCAGACATGTTGAGATGTTGTCTCGTAAAATAAAGAGGCCATACTGAGCAAGCTCGGCAGAATCCCGGAAATGGGCTTGGATTCGATATCAAAGCCGCTACACAGAATGCCCGAACGGCATGAATGCAGCCGCCACAAACTCCAGAAGCCGAGATAAGCGTATGCAGTGACGTTCAAGATGGCCGTTGAGTGGTGGTCCAACAAGGTGAAACAACGTGCTCTGGCTTAAATGTGGAATAGCACATGCGTGAGGAGCTCGGGGAGCCGATAATACAGTGCCGGTGCTCTTCTTCAACGATGAAGGACCATACGGTATGTATGTTATAGAGAAATGAGACATGGTGGAAAATCCCATATGATCTGGCTGTCTGGGCAACTCACCCACAGTCGAAGCTGACCGAAGCGGTGAGCTTGACATGACCATTGGCCTTAAACCAACACAGAACCATTGCAGGATAGTTTAAAAGAAACCAAGATACTGATCAGCATTCAGTTGGCGTATGGTGATTTCCTTGACGGGATGAGCTGTCGATGGCTGTAGCGTCGGCTCAAAATGATGGACGGTGTGGGCAATGAGACGAGGACTTGATGGAGCTCCCATCACTTAGTGTTCCTGCAGATGGGGAATTGCCGGCGGCAGTGAGCGCTTGCCGGCCCGGCAGGATTAGTGGGGTATAGTTCGGCTCTGAAGAGATCTTGGCCAATCAAAGGGTCCAAAAGATTGATGACCGAGCCGGGAGCAAGAAGCTCTCCGCACGTTGCCGTCGTTTGGATGATGAACTTCACGATCGAGACGAACCATACCTTAACCACAGTGACTTCAGTTGACACTTCCGTCATCCCATCCCAACATTGTATCTCCGTCCGAACGCGCCATTCAGCTCCAACTGTCAAATATCAAACTTGAAATTCTACCCACCCAAGGTATGTTTGCCAGTTAACCTCGCCTGGTCGCCTGCGAAGACTCGGACTAACTCACCACTACCGTCATAGACTCAAGCTGCCAGCTACTGCTCCCTGTTTATTCGCCTACCACATTCACTCAACACTCGCTTCACCATGATTTGCAGAGCTTGCCTTCGTGCTAGCAGAGCTGGCCTCCGCGCCGAGGCTTCCCAAAAAACTCGCCTCTTTCCAGCAGCCAAGCAGGGCTCTCTCCTCGCTGTCGTCCACACGCTTCGCTGCTCCTGTCGCCTACTCTACCTCTGCTCTTCTTCAACAGCGCGCCCTTCAGACCCCGGCCCGCCTCGCCTCGAGGACATACTCTACCGCCGCTTCGGAACAACCCGCCAGCGCTGGTCTTGAAAAGCCAGCAGACCTGGACGAGGGAGAGGCCCAGGTCTGGGACATCTTGATCCGCGAGTTTGCGCCCACCAACCTCGTCGTGCGAGACATCTCGGGAGGCTGCGGCTCCATGTATGGCGTCGACATCTGCTCCGAAAAGTTCCGCGGCCTCAACATGCTCAAGCAGCAACGTCTGGTCAACGCCGCCCTAGGCGAGCTGGTCAAGCAGTGGCACGGCATCCAGATCAAGACCAGCGTGCCTTGAAAAATGAAAGACACAGAGGATGAAAAGAGGAAGGATGAATTGTTTTATTACCATGTACACCACTCGATACCCAATGAACAACCGCACCAGAGCTCTTGAATGGCCATACTTTCCCACAACAGGAACCAACCCTCGTCTGATGCGAGACTCCAAAATGCCATCATGCCCCATCACCATCCTGCACGTTTTCTCTTGACAAACTCGACGTTTCCCCATTCTCCATTCTGATGCCCATGGTACCCCAGTCCAATGCCGGGAGACCGGGGATTAGGGTCCCTGTAAAAGAATGGTTGTCCGGGTCACCCCCGGTCGGTCAATCCAGACTCCCGGCCCTAAATAAAAAGGGAAAAAAGACGGACATCCTCTCCAGATCCAGATGGAGGAAGGATGCAAAAGGTTATGACAAGAGTGGGATTCGAACCCACGCCCTTTCGGACCACGGAACTCTGAGAGGAGATTAAGGGTTAACCTTAACGTGGCGCCTTAGACCGCTCGGCCATCTTGCCTATTGATGAAGTTCCGCCCTAGTTCTAGTGTTCATATCCCTTTGTCGACATACGACACTTCCACTGCAGCGGCACATATAATCCAGCAGAGGCCGAATGCAAGGGAATCCATTGGTGAATCTCGGAAGAGCATTATGTTGGATGAGTATCTCGAGAGAAGCGACAGAGAGGCATTGACAATCGTTTCAGGTGTGTACCGTCCAAAGGCTAATCACCAAACAAACGGAAATATGAAATGACATGTGCCACGGAATATAGTGGAACATCAACGGTCGAGGATCTTGATGACTCCCTATACCTACCGGATGAAACTTGCTCTATCTGGTTGATAATAGTCGAGTAGAGGAAGACCGGTAACCAAGTGCAAGAGATCTTCCAGACAAAAGCTATCTTTCTGCTGGTGATCCTGCTCTGGAAGTACCCTGCATGGAACGATATCCCTCGGCTTGCCCTCCATCCTACACGGCTTCCCCTCCGGATGAATGACGGCTTTCGACTTGGAAAAGATAGGATGAGAAGTGAGGAATCACTCTGGACCATGGCGAAAGAAAGGAGCAGTATCCTGCAAGGGAAAGAATTTCCGAGATATGGATACAGGACGAAAACAAGCAGGAAGTCGATGTGATCGCACGCAAACGACATAAACTAAACTCAAAGATACTGGCGAGAGGCATCTCGTGATGGATCATCCTCCGTCTGGTTATAAAAGACCCTCATCTTTATACACTCCTCTTCCTTTTCCTCCTCTTCCACGCTCTCTCAGAAAACCACTATTCTCATCCACAATCCAAACAACCAACGTCAGGTATTCTTACATCAGCACTCAGTCATACCTAGCTAGGTCTGCTTCGGCCTAGTTCTAGTACCCCGGCCGTCGTCCAAAAAAAAAAATACATCACGCCGCTTCATCATCAAACAGACTTCGTCTCAGTTCAGTCACTCCTCCCCAGACAGTCATGGTGACCAACGAAGACCTGCGCCCCCCTCCGCGAAGCCAGTATCAAGATTTTGGAGAAATCATGAGAACGGAAGAAAGGATATAACCATTGAACGAAATAGAATGCTTTCCACGAAGCCTACAAACAACAAGTGGATCACTGCCACCAACAAACGAAACCAATTGCAGCCAAAAAAAAAACCAAAGACCTTCGCTTCGTCGGGAGAAGCAAGTTTGTTAGTAACAACTACAGGTAGGTACTTCTGCCTCTCGTTCTGCTACGGCGAGATGAAGGTGAAAGAAGAGCTGTGGGAACCGGAACCGGAACCTGGTACATGTAGCCCGAGCCATTTCTCAAACACAGACAACACTGCGGTATGACATCTACATCTATCTATCTATCTATCTATTCCAAGTGCTGTTCCTACCTAATGACGTACGAATACGTAGGTACTACCATAACTCTTGCTGATCATACCTACCTAGCCAACTCACCACCAGAACAACCCCGCCAACGATGGTGAGGGAATCATCCGTGAGGGCCCCTTCTTCTTCTTCATCCTTCTTGGTGGTAATAATATCGACGACATGGACCCGGATACGAGCTCCAGTCCCGAAAAGGAGGAAGTCGACCGAGGAAGTCTCAACTGCACTGCACCTACCCTGAGTGAGGAAGATTGAAGTGAACCTGGAGTCCCGGTACACTGCTTGGACGACCAGAGGTACACATGCTCTAGACGTACCCGCTGATTTGGAAGGTGTGGATGAATTAGGATCAAGATCAAAAGTCGGCTCTTGTGGTATCCAATGAGATTAGGGATGTGGAATATGGAGTTAATCAGATTCGAGTTTCTTTTTGCTGATACCTTAAGAGGTAGTTAGGTACCAGGAAGCCAATTCATCAGCCAGAAGGAAGGAAACTGAAATCACCGAAAGTCAAAGGCGAAGCAAGAGGAAGGGAATATTTTTTTAAACAACCAAGTTCTTTTGTGTTCAGCTAGCTCCTAATTAAAGACAATATTGACTACTCTCTATGTACAGGCAAAGGACCCCTTCCCTGATGATTTCTATATGCAAGAACCCCCCTTCCTTCCGATCTATATCCCCCAGCCCCCTTGGCTATGCGACGTCCCCTTCTCTTCCCCTCTTCACTGCTACTCCTTCTCCTATCCCTCTTCCTCTTCCTCCTCTGTTTTTATCCACTGCTTTCTATACCATCCTCTACTCCACTCCACTCCACTGCTTCTCCTTCTCTTCCACTCATCCTTCTCCTCCTCTCCTAGTATGTTATCTGAGCATCGCACTCTTGTTAATTCTCAAACCGGGCAGGCTAAAGAAGAAATTTAGAGAGCGATCTTGAGGGCAGCGCCAAGGAAGACGTGGAGGCCGCCAGCGCACTTGTTGATAGCCTGAGCGTGGGCGTGGATCTGGGCAACGAGGTGGGGAGCCTGGAGGTCGAGGCCGACGACGGCGCGGAGGGCAAAGTTGACAATGGGGGTGGCGATGGGGAGGATGAGGCCGGCGACGAGGTTGAGCTCCTTGATGATGACCTTGAGGACGTCGTGGGTGGCGGTGGCGACGAGGTGCTTGAGGCAGCCCTCGACCTGGATGAGGAGAGCCTCGATGTCGGCGACGAGGTCAAGGACGATCTGGAGCTCGGCGGCGACGAGGCCGACCGAGGGGCGGATGAGAGCGGTGATCGAGGGGATGACGCCGGTGACGACGGTGTGGAGGTGGCCGGACAGGCTGACGAGGGCCTCGAGCAGGAGGTGGGCGTCGATGCCGGTCTCGCAGTCGACGAGCTCGGTGATGCGGGTCAAGTCGGCCTTGACGAGGACGTCAATGTTGAGGACGATGGTGGTGACCTCCTTGACGATGACGGCGGGGGCCTTGCCGGAGGTGGCGCCGGAGCCGATCTTGCCGGCGTCAAGGCCGGTGGAAGGGACCGAGGGGGACACCGGTGGGGTAGGTGATCTCGGGCTCATAGTAGTGGGTCTTGGAATCGGAGACAGTGGTAGCCCAGGTCTGGTAGAGGGTGGTGGCGGAGGTCAAGGTCTGAACGGGGGAAGCGCTCTGGAGCTCATCGCCGTTGAGGGGGGAGTCGATACCGCTGGGAAGGCCGTTGATGCCGGAGGGAGCGGCACCGTGGCCACCGCAGGAAGAGCCGAGGATGGGGGTGGCAATGGCGGAGCCGATGGCGGCAGCAGAGAGGGCGGCGCTGAAGAACTTCATATTTGCGGTTTGGTGGTTGTTGTTGGTGGTTGTTGATTAAAAAAGGTTGTAGAAAATGGTTCTAAAGAAGGTAGTAGTAGTTGGATGTTGTTATTAAAGAATGACTGGTTATTAAGTATTAGTTGTAGTAGTGAGTGAGTGAGTGTGTGAGTGAGTGTGTGATGATGAGAGAAAAGAAAGCGGTTGATGGAGGAAGATGAGTTCCTGTTATATACCAGTTTGTCGTCGATTCTGACCTCCTCACCGCGCCCCCATGTTCACGATGTTGTCTGTGTGAGTTGTTCGCCATCAACGTTAGCGTCATGATGATAGGCGGTCTCTCCTTTCTCTCCTTTCTCGGTAATTCTCGCTAGATTGACCAAGTTGAACATGGTGTAAGTGGCAGCGACGGTGAGTTTGGGCGAGGGGCGTAAACGGTGAACGCATTCTCCACGGCCCACGGCACTTGAGGAACAAGGGTTTCGAAGCTTGAACCAGCCAACTGGTGTCGCAGATCTCAATGAGCCTGATGCCAAGGCCTGTCAACGATGGAAGGACTCCGCAAATGATTGACGGTGTAAGATACAGATGCAGGGTCTCGAATCTGGAGCCTGAGGTGAGGCTAGGAGAAACTCCATCACAGCTTCATCCAAAGGTGCCATGTAAGTGCACTTATGGCGTGGCAGGGTCTGAGACAGAGCGGTGGACGAAGGTGATATTGGTCGCTGGAATTCTTTTAGGGGTCCTTGATATGTTGAAGATGTCTTGACAGTATCAAGGAGAGGGAATAGTCCATTATGGTGGTGTTCTGATATTCCAGTTAGTGATGTTCACCTGCGCAATAAAGTTTGGCCCAACCATGATGCAATCGACATCATTCCCAACACGTTTCCTTCGACACCAAGAACAGTACCATATTGTGCCGATCAGGTACAGCGTAATAGCCAATGCAAGATGAAGCTGTGAGATTGCAATGTTTGGGTTGCAAACGCACGACGGAACGTGCCGTTCAGGGGTTGTTTCTAGTGAAGAAACATCAACGGCATTTCTGATCCAATGGTAAATTCCGTCCACATCGTCCACTCAGGGGGTCCATCATGATCCCGGTTCAGGAGCAGATCTCTCGGATCCAACGACACGGCTCCGCGTTGTCGATCCCTTCCCGTTACGCCACTCTAGCCACAACTCACCGTTGTCACCGCCGTGTACCTGTTGGCCTGAGTCTACCGACTTTTTGGAAGCCTCTTTCGCTTGTCGTTGCCGGAGAAACACGCCAGCTCGTTTGGTATGACCAGAATAAATAGTGGCAAGGCCCTGCTATGGTCATTCAACAAAGACCGTTGCTGTTTTTACTTCTCTCATCTCTCCGCAGTGTGCAACCGAGAAGGCATCAGTGGGGAACTCCAAAGATGACGGCAACTTCCTAAATTGCCCAACCGTTTATTTTTGGGCAAGATGCAGATCGTCTCGTGTCTCTCTCTCAGGAAAGCATCGCAGGTGCTGTTATCTTTGCCCCTTAGATGAAAGGGTGAAATGGCTCAACGGCAGTTGTGAAAACCAAGTTATTGCTGTCTCAGAGAGCAATGTCATGAACAGACTTGTAGTGTAGAGCTGAAGAGATGACGGGTTTCAAGGCAGCTGATCTTCGCCAAGTCAAGTAGCAGGTGGGCGGTGGAAATATTCCGTGATGGAGAAAACACCGTCGATTCGGGGAAGATGTGGGAGGATCATGAGAATCATGGGGTTTGCGTAAAGCGTCGACACTTTGGTACGTACTACCCCTGCCACCCGCAATTATCACCACTTTCCAAGTGACGAAGGTCCGAAGTCGATTTTGAAGCCTGTGACCCTCGCATTCCACCCTCCGCAACCCGATATAAAGCAAAATATAGCAAAAAGCCCCCATTTGAGCCAGCTGAATTGCGTGAATGCGTTACCTTTTTTATAGCGTGGATATTACTCGAGATAAACTTAAACTATCAAAAAAGCGGTACTTGAAAGACAAGGTTAATTAAGAAGGGGGTACTTGAGAGATAGGGTTATTTGAGGAGGGGGTACGTACCAAAGTGTCGACGCTTTACGCACCACCGAATCATGACAATCCCACTTCCACACAATTGCGTTAGCTTCGGTATGTCCCGACTTTTTCTCAAAAGCCAAGAACGTAGCCAAGACAACAAGCTTTCAAAGATTCTCCGCCAGTTTGGAATCAAGACGCCATGATCACCAATTAGCTCGATGGCCAAGACTCAGCTCGACGATGTCGACGATGTGGATGGTCGGGGAGACAAGTTCTTCCTGGCCTGTCCTGGGAAAAGGAGGCGTCCGGGGGCGAGATCTTGCAGGCACAATCGCGCCGGTGCTGCCGGCTGCATTTCCGGCATTGACGTGTCGTGGCTGGTGAAGTCAAATTGACTTGCGAGGTGCCGGAGCGAGGCGTCGAGATCACGATCCAGATCGCGAGATAAGTTTGGTGATGTCCTAGATGGATATGCCTTCATTTCTGTGTAATGTGATGTCGGCCCATGCTTGTGGTGTGGCGCAGAGCATTGGTGTGTGTCCGACGCCAAAAAGCCACGATGGCTTCATTCGAGGGTGTGGGCCTGTTTGTTAGCAATTGAGATCGGGCCCTCCAGGCTTTGCGCGCAGTAGCCCATGTTCTGTGGTCCAAAGAACCAGGACGGAATATGGGTGAAGGCAATGCGATGATGCGAAGTGGAGGTTTGGAGAAAGCCGTCGGAAGTGGGCTGAATTGAACGAGCTGCACCACTGGATATCATGTAACCAACACGAAGCGCTGGAGATTGCCTCTCATAAGCTTATTTAATGCATCAAACCTAATATCAATCATAAGCGCCAGTGGTTTAGTGGTAAAATCCATCGTTGCCATCGATGGGCCCCGCGTTCGATTCGCGGCTGGCGCATTACTTTTTCTCTTTTTTTGCATCTTTCTTTTTATCGACACAATGGTAACGTAATGATAGAATATGTTATTGGCGCTCATGCATAGTAGTGACAGGCAATCTTCAATAATTCCCTATGTCAAATTGCTTCCTCCTCTTATGCGTTGACCTGTTATGTGAAAAGAAGTTTGACATTGCCAACTTGTTTTTGTTTTTATTATATGAACTTCCAGTTCATGAACAAAGCAAACCCCCTCATCCTTCATGTACGTCTTGACCAACGTGACATACCAATGCCTCCATGACTTCAGTGTCATTCAGGTTCTTTGCTACATTCGATTTCCAAGACATTCAGTTCTTTGCAATTGTCATATTTTGACATTACGAATGCCTGTCTATCTTTCAACGAGTAGCTGTTCAGTCGACATCATCAAGTTCATTCGCCTTCCATATAAGCACCATATCACGGTCTCATCAGCCCTAAAAGTCTTCCTTGTGACTTCTTGATTTTCCCATTGAACATTCTGTCATGAGATTCCCATTGCGAAAACCTACACAGCAGGTACAGTTTTGTCTCTGAAGCATCATGACAGAGACACTCGGAAGCTAACGGAGTGTAACAGATAACGCTCAATTTAGCCGCTTATCGTCTGCTTTGCTGCTAGCGGTCGCTGTGCAAGATGTACTTCTGAGATCAATTGGACATTCAATTGGCCAATGCCCACGGATGGAAAGTGCAGCTTGTGTAAGTACTTGATAAGATAAGCACTAACAGTTATGCCCGACCGAAAATAAGCTTGACACCATTGCACTGTTAGTGCAATGCGAATCCTTTCAGGCTGATCGTGCGGGAATCTCACTAACAACATAACAGACAATAGCAACTCTTATCGCTTAGACCTTGTTCATCTCATGTCCCGTCTGTTCCTCGGTTTGTTGGCTTGCGGTTAGAAAACGGAAGTCATCATCAACTCTTGGCATTGCTTGGGCAACCCCCTTTCAGACCGAAAGGCCGATCTGCACCTGTCGCCCTTATCGATACTAAGCATACCAAACCCCCCTGCCTAGCTTTCCTCAACCTTCTCACCTTCCATCTCATCAGCGAATCCTTTTCCCTGCTTCTTTCCCATTTCCCAATCTCGATTGACCTTTGCGACCCTTGTGGTTTCCTCTCATCCTATCATGGACATTTTAGCGACTACCGTCTTCTTCGGACATCGCATTGCTCATGTCCCCTGACGCCGAAAAAGACAACCTAGGTACGAACTGAAGTTCATCTTCGCCCGGTCGCGACCGCCCTCAATATTCCCGACCCGAAGTGAAGCAATTCAACCGTTACCTATATTTCCACCAGCAAAGAATTGCTGTTGCGACTGCGGCGTCCCAATTCAGTTGGATCTCGATTCCAGTCGCAACTGGTCTAGAACAATGAAAAGCGCACATGACCGACACAGCGAGTGGTGTGCCGGCACTCACCAAGTGGTGCGTTTTCAACGCCCAGCAGTGCCGTGGTCGTGCCATAGGGGAGCCATACGGTGGTGTGATTGCTACCTGGTACCTCTTGGCGAACAATTCATCACAGTATCGGGTTCAGTCGGGGGAGAAGAGCACCCCAAGCACCCCTAGCAACGGTGTTTTCGGGTGTCGGCGGACACAGCGAAGTTCACAATCTAGCCCGTAATATGACTGGGCGAAGAATTTGTTGATTTGATCGGACTGATCGAACCAAAAAAACTGCTGATGTTATCTGAAAAGAATCGTTAGAACCGTTCAGATCTTGTTTTTCTGACAATCTGACTACTACACTACGCTTTTCCCCCGGATTATTCACATGCCCCATGTAAAGTATGGGCTAACCGAAGGGTTCGCGAAGGCCGTAACCGCCCGTCCGACTGCCATTTGGGCGGCTGTGGCCATGAATTGACAATGTTTAGACGAAAGTGACAAATGTATTTGAGGGGATTGATCCCTCCCTTCGTTGTTCTGGAATACTTACTTGTTCTATCATCAACAACAAATATTGTTTACTACTACATACAAACCATCGTCGGTACAGTGATAACTAAACGCCATCAGTTACTATCACGACGCAAACCAACCACCAACAACACTACAATCAACACTCAAGTTGCCGGGTCCCACGATAGTGTCAAATCAACAACCAGCAACCAAATCACCATTCAACTTAAACAAACACTTCCCAACAAATATCAACGCGCAATCAAACATAATCCAGATTCTACCATATGTATGCAAGCCCACCCCCAAACAAACAAACCCTCCAGTCAAAAAAAAACAAAAAAACCATCAGGATCAGCACCACTAACACCCCATCCCAGCTTCACAACTCTTGACAGCATCAAACAACACCACATCACCACATCACCACATCACCAGCAATGGAAGACGAAGAATACTACCACATGATGATGTCCGACCTCGAGCGTCTCGAGCGCATCCATCACCACCAGAACCCCGAGATCCCCCCTCCATCATCATCTCTATCACCTCTATCACCTCCATCTCCTCGCCAACAAGCTTACCACTGGAACCCCTCTTACTTCGACAACCTTTACCACTCGTCAACCCATCCAACAACTCCAACCACTACCGCCGCCTCAACACAAAGATATGGCACAACAACCACGATATCATCAGCTGCTAGTTCTCCTGGCGCAGCAGAGAGTGGGAGTGGGAGTGGGAACCACAGGCCGCCGAGTCCAATCCTAGCGGGGTTGAAATCAGCGTTTGTGGCTGGGTTGGATGTGTTGCATTTGCATTTACATCATCCTCATAGACCAAGTTCGGCGCATTCGAATGAGCGTCGTCATGGGCTTGGAACAGAGAGTGGGAGTATTGGGAGTATTGGGAGTACCAGTAAAAAGGATAGGAGGAATTCGCATTAAGTTGATGGTGTGAGAAAGATGAGGAATGAGGATGGATGGATGGATAGATGATTTCACGATTTTGAATTTTTTTCCCCCCTTTGTTTCAGCCAAAAAGGAGTTTCATGTTGAGGGAGTTTTTGGATCTAGCAGGTTAAGAGCGAGAGAAGAAAGGAAGGTGGACTATATATATATATATTTTACTTTACTTGATACCAGATAGATAGAAGAAAGAGTGGTATAATACCCGACCGGCAGGCAGGTCAATTTTTACCTTAAGAAACTTTCAATCGCACACGCGCTCGCACAAAAGTGTGCATTGTTATTCCCACCCACCCACCGCAGCCGATTTCTTTGCCATCACCTTCCATTGTTTCCTACATTCACTCACTCACTCACCACCACCACCACCACCACCACATGTTTCGTTCTCATCCCTTGACGCCCTCAGTTTATATACTTCCCTCACTCTCACTCTCACTCCCGTTCCCACTCCTGTTCCGACTCCCTTTCCACTCACTTCCCCGAGTTGTCTCCTCCCTCCCTCGCTCAACAACAAACCTCTGAACCGCCCAGAACCCCCTCATATATGCAATACCCAACGGAAAATGCTCCTGCGAGATAACCTGCGAAGCCGTCGACATCTTGCGCACCAGATACTTCTTCTTGAGCTCCCATCTGGTCACGGCACCCGTTGCCAGCACCTCTCGAGGCGGGGTCTTGGGATGCGGCGTAGCCACCAACAGGATCCAGAGGAAGATGCCAGGAACCTCTTTCCACCCTTTTGTACCAACGGCGAGGATGTTCTCGTACAGAGTTTGCGACTGAGCCTCGGTCTTGACGACGGAGATGGGTTGCATGGTTGAGATGGAGGCGGTCAGTATCAGGGCACAGAGCTGGATAGTTTGCGTGACGAGATCAGGCTCAGGAGATGCCGAGGCCAAGGCCCCGTGAAGACGGAATGCTATGGCCCTTATGTCGGTGCTGGAAACGGGGCCAACCTGCTCCGATCCTGGATACGGTTCGAAGAATGGTTCGATGATCATTGCCGTCAGACGGAGGACTTGGCTCAACATGTCAGCCGCAGTCAATGTCAAGCCGAGAGCATCCGTGCTCTGCAGGAAAGATATACGAAGGTCGGGCAGTAGGGGCGACAAGAAGGGAATCGGTATGCTAGGGACAGGCACATGTTCAGGTTGAGGGCCATTGCGGTCGTGTATGAGGAGGTCACGTTCGTAAGTAACGGCCACAGCGTGATCCACCCTGACAATCAGTTTACCATTAGCTTGCTGTGACTTTGGGTACTTGTAGCATGGGAAGAACCTATGGAAGAAAGTCGAGCTTACAGCATTAGGACTGAAATAGACATGGGGTCATTTAAGCCTGGTCGGCCGTCTACCGGCTGAGCGAGGTATTTGAGCCCTCTCAAATGCGCCAAAAGGCCCTCCTCTTTACCCCAAAGCCACTACTCGGTTATTTCTCATTTTAGCAACACAATCATAGCTATCATGTTTCAGTCAAGGAGCACGTTTGAACACACCTCAATAACAGCCAAGTTGATGATTGACCTCACCACGTCTTCCAACTCATATACTCCGCTCCCGATAGTTCGGTTGATCATTCCCAACACTTTGCCTTTGATAGCTAGCGGCTCCGGGTGGCTTTCAGCATCATAGCCCCGTTCAAAGGCTTGGAAAACCGAAGCCATTAGTATGCCGATTTTGGGAAACAGCTGTGACTGCATCATCCACGGGAGCATTTGCGCCCGAAAGAGGGGAGGCATGTAGTTTCCTTCGATTGAGACCAAGTTAGGAGCCACAAAGTCCAGGACTATGGTGAGTTTGACATGTTAGCATCGTGTTGACCGACCGCTCGAGGTAAGGAAAGTGTACTTACAGTAATGCATCAGTTCGATGTTTCTTGGACTGTCGTCAATACGAGAACCTCCCAGACAACTCGTGATAGACGTCAGTACGCCTCCCAGTGCCGCCACTTTCTTGGGTGACGCTCCTGCGCAGTTGCTCCCACCCATGTATTCGTCGTGGAAGCCCTGACTGTGTGTTACTAATTCTCCATGCATTCCAGCCACGCCAGAATCCGATGAAGAACTGCTTTTCGGACTCGCGTTGCCGGATTCATGATGGCGTTGCATCTCAGCTTTGTGTTTCCTGTCAGAATCAGACACAACATAGACAGCCCACTGGCTAGGATGATGAAGCTTTTCGGGTTGCCGCTTGACTCGCATCACCAACTCCTGAGCGGACGTGACCTTTATGCCACCCGGCCCTAGAGCAGCAAGACTGGCACATGCGCTCAGCTCTAGGGGGAATATGCACTCGGCTCTTGGCCATCTTCTCGCGCAGTTAGGGCATGGCTGGCCCGGCGATGTCGGTGGCTGACACTGTTTTCTTTGGGGTTAACATCACGATCGCTTCAAGAACAGGAGTATTACTGAGAACTCGCCTTTTGTTTCCTCCTCCGGCACTCAGTGCAAGACTTTTTGATCCTTTCCCGTCGGTTAGCATTGCCATTACTGGACGAAGACAGCATCTTCGTTAATGAACCCAATGGGATGGTTAAGCTAGCCGAGCTGCACAAGTCTGACATAAATGGAAATGCAGCATTTCGGAGGACACCATCGAGTGCATCACCAGATCATTATATGCGACGACGGCATTGAAGCCAATGACCGGTCTCTCGGGACATCCAAAGATACGTACCTTTGCTAACGGAAGGACCCGCTCTCCCAACCAACGAAATGTTCTGGAGCGGTGTGATCTTCGTTCAGCTGTAGGGCAGCAGAAACGTGATGAAGTGGAGGAACCTATCGAAGCTCAGCCCTGGATGCGTTTCTTTTCCTTCCCGATTGGGCTAAACAGTACGGAATATACCGAGGAAATGTCAAAATAAGCGAAAATCGTTCGGTGAGAAATGAGGCCTACATGGTCTAGACACCAAGAACGTGATTGTGAAACAGTACTATTGAGGAGTTAATAAAACCTGACGGCTTAAATCAACATAGTGCAGTTGAACAAATGCTGGTTCAATATCCGGAACGGGGACATCATAAGTGCGGCCCGGACCGAATCGGGGTACCGACAATGTGGTCTCGTTCTGTTGTCACCAAAGCTTGTTGAAGGTGGAGCATTGACCTCGGCTGATATCTCCTGAAGTGACATGTTTAGGCGAATTCATGTCCCCCAGGGCAGTCTCATTGTGGGTACCGTTCGTGACCGTTGTGCATAAAGGGGCAATGTGACTGGGCAAGACGCTAGATGCTATGGTGGCTGAGAACTTAAAGCAGTGATCGGATAAATGGAAACAGAAAACAGGGTCAAGGGAGATTGCTTACCACAAACATGCTTGAGATTGATCCTATCATCATGTGAAGACTACCAAGGGGCCGGAGGAGTGGTAGGTCCGGAGATGCTGTCCGCGCTGAATCACACTGATATGCTTTATTCTCACCCTTTATGTGACTTGCCGAGACACTGCATCTTTAGTAGGGTAGAAGGTAGTGTATTTGTGACATAACAGATATGGGCCCTATGAAGATTATCTCGACTCTTTGTGCAGATGGTGCTGCTAATCTACCGAATATTTGAGAACAAGATCCTTGAATGGATCATGAGCCATTGGCATAAACATTACTTGTGTCGGTACTAGCTCCTCCGCAGCCCTTTTCCTCATGTGTCATCGGGATGCTCTTGGCGACAGAAAATCAGAGGAGGCTTGTTCGTCCTTCTGTGTCCGCAGCTGCTCGGTAGTGGGATCAAAGGGCCAAAGCAACGAGGAAGGCAACGACGATGCCCCTGACAACCCTGCAGAAAACCGTTAGCCATTCGATCCAACGAAAGAATTTTCAAGAAAGCACAAGCCGTAGCCAATGTCTGTCAATAACATACCCGTTAACGAGACCAAGAGTCTCGGAGGATGCAGCGCTTTTGGCATTTCCAGCAGTGTCCACAGGCTTGCCGTCATGAGCAGTGTTGCTTTCCTGGGCACCCGCATCTGTGCCGGTGGGGTCGATCAAGGTGACAGAGGTGGAATTGTCTAGCGGCCATGTCGAGTTGGTGAAGTTTCCGAAAGAACTGCCGTTGACGGCGGTTACAGTGGGAAAAGCAGAAGGAACCGATGAAGTGAGGTCACTGCTGGCAGCCGCTCCGCTGATAGATTCGCTGCCGGAGATTGCAGCAATGCTGCTCTCCTGGCCATCTGGTGAGATCACGATTGTTGCAAGTGCAGAGTTGGGCTCGCTGCCAAAGACAGTGACGGTCGAGAGAGCGACGGTGGTGACGCCAATTTGGGCATTGGGAGAATTGACCAAGTTGGCCGGGACGGTGACAGTCTCGTACACGATCGGCTGTGCGGCGATGTTTTGGGCTTGAACAACAGCGACTGGAGCAGCAGCGAGCAGCATGAGGGTGCCGGGAACCATGTTGGTGAGCATCTTGATGTGTCCTGGTGGCGTGTGGGATGAATCAACAGATGTTGTGGGAGGTGTAGATGATGCAAGTTGCAAGGAGCAAGAAACCAAGGGAACCAAGGATCTGGGAGAACAAGAAGGTCAATGATCTGATTGTGTCAGAGTGTGTGGTATGCGGGAGAAGGGAGATGCTGGATTGACTCTGAACTTGAAGTTGTCGGGGAAATCTGAGGCCATGTGGTTGGGAGTGAGGGGAAGATGGAAAATTCAGAAGGCAGTCAGACAGGAAGAGGCAAGGACTGATGCCTTCATCTGACTCCCATCTGGTGCGGCAGGTCTTCACGTGGAAGGGTTATCATGGAGGAAAGCGCTGCTCCTTCGCAAGGTGGATGCCACTCCTCGTTCATTTGCTAATATCGTGAGCGCCTTCCTCAGGTGTTGGATGGAAATTTTGCAGACACCAGTCTTGAGAGGAAGGTGCGTTCCCTCTTTGGCTCGCAAAGGCAGCAAGACCCGCACTGATCAGACCAGACATCGGGTGCAACTGCCGTCCATAATGAGAACTCTCCCGGTTCCTGCTTCATCTTTGGGCGCTGCGATCGTTGAAAGGATAGTTGCGATGAAGAGTTCGATCATAACTCACCGCTCCTGTAATTTTGATCGCCGGAATTCTCCGTGTAAGATGGTACGCCAGGTGGAAAGTTTGATTGCTGCCGTGGAAGGCGCGAATATCAACGCAAACACATCTGGCAAAGGCGGATGCCTGGATGATGCATCGCACCAAAGAAAAAGAACACCAAATCCAAAACCATGTCATTAAGTCCAACACAACCCTCAGCCCGTAGAAATTACACTGCGCTAGGAAGAGCCAACCCGTATGTCCGTCCCCTCAATCATATTCGAGGCACTCCATCCATTATGCCTCATTGACTCGATTTGGCTAGCCGTACAGCCTCTCTCAAGAACAGAACAAGAACATGACCATAGCCTGCCTGTATCGTATGCGTGGGTATCATGATGAAGTCGCAGAGTTGTAAAGACATTTGCCACAGACATGCACGCGTATTAAATTCATTCCATGCCCAGAACGCCAAACAACAGGAAATGGAAACTGACAAAGGATAGAGGTAAAGGTTAAGAATGACCAAATCAGGAAAGGACAAAAGCCCGCAAAACACTGATGCACTGATGGTGATGACGGAAGGAACCCGCGAGCAAATGCTGAAGAAAGTGGAGATAGCCGCGCAACCAGATAACAAAACTTAGAACACTGGACGACGCACTCCTCTTTTTCCCATCCGGGATGATAGGCTGCCTTGTCCAACTTGCTCCCAAGTTCCGTGAGCGGGACGAGTCGACAAGATCCAGGAAGAAATGGGGAACGCAAAAAAGAAAAAAAATGGTAGGAAAGGGCCGCGTTGAAATGTCAAATGGGTGTCAAACCGACGTCGTTTGAACAGACGATCTTCCCTGTTCAGATGCCGTAGGTGCCGTGTCTCTAGTTTGGCCATGTTGTGGTGCTGCACAGTTGTCCCTCCTCCTCCTCACCCCTCTCCTCCTCCTCCTCCTCCTCCAAATCCCGATGATAGACGTGGGCTTCGATTAGTAGGGTACGAGGAGTGAGATGATGATACGGGAGGCTCCATCGGTGCAGGAAGAGACGTGGGGGTTTGCTGTTGTTGATGCTGCTGTTGGTGCTGCTGTTGCTCCCTGCCTAACGCGCCAGAACCCTGCCAACTGGAACTGTAATCACCTGCCAACCGGGGACCCATATCTGATGAAGAGGACGTCATATGAAGAGTTCGGGGCACACTACTCTCGGGATGTGATAACGAATGCTGCCCACTCTTGCTTGCCGCTACCGGATCATATGGACTGGTAACTGGCGAGTACCGGTACAATCCCGAATTGTGATAGCCGGTACTGAGGGGACTGAGCGGCTGAGAAGTAGATACGGCAGTCCTCGGCGACGGAGCAACAGCTGGTGCCGGCGCGATCGGCTGGTTGGGCTGCGGCATGTTTTGACGGGCTCGACTCTCATCTTTCTTGGGACGACCCCGTTTGCGACCGGTAGGAGCCGCGCTCAGCGTTGAGGTTAGAGGAGGAGGAATGCCTGGCGAGGGAAGACCGTTGGGCCGTGGCTGGATGTTCACAGGCTGTGCTATTGGAGTTGGAAACGGTTGATGGCCGTATGATCGCATGGGCGAATATAGCGGCCTTTCCTCGGCAGGGCCAACTGCCCGCCTCTTTGCATAATGATCCTCCGAGTCATCGACCGAGTTCCGTTTTTGCGGCGACAGTATTGGTCTCTGAAACGACGGTCTGCTCACCATGGAGCTGTAAGCCTGAATGCATTGATTCACGGTCCTTCCTGCATTTCCAAGTCAGAGGCTGCATTGCATATAGTCGGCTACAACAGAGTTAAAAATCCTTGACTTACCTCGAGGAATCTGAATAGAGTGCCAGTCTGGTTGTTCGATGTTATGATGCTTGATAAAGTTTATCATCGCAGGCACATCGACGCTAACCTTGATGATTTCCCCCAAGAGGAAGCGCTGTACGAGAAGAGACATGGGTAAGCGAGAGGCGGGGGCGGGGGAATATAGAGCCAACTCGAAAGTGGAAGCATTCATACCTTTTCTTCCTCATCAAACGACGACTCCATGATGGAGGTTTGGTGGTTCCTGGAGTCTGCCGTCGATGGGAGGGAGGAAAAAACGAAGGACAAAAAGAGAAATGGCCAAATGATATCTAGTCATTTGTCGAGGGCCAAATATGACTTGTTATTCGTCGAGCGGGCAACAGGGCCGGGGGTGACGCTCGTGATCGGAGAAGACGGGGCAGAGTCGCAGTGGCGAAGTGCACCCATTCATATACGAATAGGGGGGAATTGTTGCTTGCGGGAGTCAAACTGAGAAGTTGCCTGGAGCTTGCCTTGGTAGTGCTTGACAATGGTGCTTGATGTTATGCTGCTGCTTTTCCTGCTTGATAGTGGAGGCAGGCTTGTGGGTATGTACCTAGTGGTGCTTGTTACAACAACAACAACCTGCTTGTTCCCACTCAACTGCGCGCGCGCCGCCTGCAGGGCATCCAGGATAAGGATGGACGGACGGGAATGGGGACGACAGGGGTCAGTGTACTAGGTGAGATATGAAACGAAGGTGTCGACAGCCAGAGTTGAGATATGTATGTATGTATGTATGTATGTATGTATGAGGTGCGGATTGCAGTCAGTAGTGCCAGAAGGCGTTAATCCGTCATGTCCACGGCCGTGGGGTCACGAAAAACCAGGGGGTGGGTGAAGCGAGCGAACAGATGCCTTTTGCGACTCCAAGTCCAAGACACTCTCGCCAGACCGGGAGATGAGTGGAGGACGGCAGCCTGGAATCGAGCAGGGCAGGCGGCAAAGAGACGCGAGCAGTACAGTGGGAAGCGCGCGTCTTCCCGTTGGTCTGCCGAGTTTCGAGTTACCGTAGAGGAGAGCGACAAGACGACGGGCGAGTAGATGGATGTTGTCCAGTTGGATGGCAGGCGAGACGATGTTGCTGTCTCTGTCAATGTTCCACTGTTGCACTGTCGCACGGCGGGTGGTGGGCGCCCCGGTTTCCAATGTTGGTGTTAGTGAGGGCTCCACTGTCGAAATGACCCCGGCTCGGCTGCCCAGGCGCAGGGCAGTGGATGGGACGGATGGGGACTTGGGTTGACTGAGGTTAAATCGGCGACAGCGACAAGGCAAGGAAGAACCAGAACGGCGACAAGAACAACAAGAACAACAGCAACAAACAAACACCCCGGATTTGTTCACCTGTGCTGACCTCGCCGTCCAGATTCTCACTCCCTTGTCCAGTCGGCGTGTTTCGCAGGGGTGCCTGTCAAGGTCAACGGTTCTGTAACAGATTCGACTTTCTGTTTTTGCAAAGAAATCGCGTACTGAACACTCGCACCTTTTTTTCCCGAGATAATCCCATGCAGCGAGTACCGTCAGATAACCAGATACAAGGTGAGATCTCAACTGGCACACCTGTCTGTCCTGGTCCAGGTTTGCACTTGTGTCGTCCAGTTAAGCAGCGCAGAGCGCAAAGAGGGAGAGTTGCAAGGTAGACAAGGGTTGTCTCGTAAGATTGCGGTTGCAGCTGCAAGCGGGCAGATCAAGTGACTGCGCGTGTGGTGGAAGGGTGCTGCCGGCCCACTAGCCACTTTTCCTCAGGCCTTGCCTTTTGATCGCTGTGGTATCGATGATGTGGTATCGATGGATGTAGCCAAGTATGTAGGTAATAATCATGTGTGAGTGAAGTGTGAGTGTAGTGTGTATATCCGTGTGTGTGTGTCTTGATGGTGGTGTGGATTCGCACAAGCCAAGCAGTTTGCCGCGAAAAGGAAAGATTGAAATACACACCCGACAAGCAGCAGCAGCAACACTAGTAGCAGCAAGCATGTATTGACGGGAGGTAGCCGAAAGCAGGAAATGGACGACGGACGGGGCCGATCCATGTATCTGAAGGCGAAGAATGATAGACGCGTGACTTTGTGTTGAATGCCGTCCATCCAGCCTTGGAGGCTGTCTGCTGTTCAGCCGATGAAAATGAAAGTCAGTATCAGGTATCGAAAGTTGACTGCGACTTCGGAGTACTGTTCCACCTCATCTTTGATTCGACCAGAACTTGGAGAAATGGGGAGGACATGGAGGACAAATATTGGGCCCGTCATTCCCGTCATGTCGATAACAACCAAGTTGACCACTTGGTCACCTCAATAGGCCTGGCCGCGACCCAGTTTCGCCCAGCAAACTCTCGCTTTGAGAAAAGAAGGGTACAGCACGGAAGTACTGTCTCGGGCAGAGAGACCTTGGCTGACGGGAACTTCCCCCTCCTCCCGTCGCAACCCAAACCTCCAATGCTGATGAAACAAAACTTGACAACCGACCAAGCAGATGCAAAAAAAAAGTCATCCGAGACCGATCACGAACATTTTCAGTGTCCACCTCGGTCTTGGAACGTCGCAACGCGTTCTGCGCGGGCCGAAGGGAACGAGCTACTGGAAGCAGCTAAACAAGAATATCCGGCCGCAGGACAGGAAAAAAAGAAAAAAAAGAGACGAAGGAGAAAGAGGGAAGCAGAATGACGGCGACGACGCATAGACGGACGGATGGCATCCGCGGTTCCGCCGAGAAGTCTTGACGCTGCGGCGAACTGCGACTGAAAGCCGGGAAGCTGAGACATGCTTGACAAGGCCGAGGAAATGACTGTATCGTTTTCCCGGTTGGGAAGAGGGTGCCGAAGATGCTTGCTGTCGCGACCGTGAATCGACTGCCAATTTGCCATTCTGTCGACTGTCGACTGTCGACTGTCGAATGTGTCAAGCCTCCAACGGTTGCAGTCGCATCGGATCCAATCCATCACGGCAGCGCTTCAATGGGAATAGGATGATGCGCCTGAATGCCTATGATGGGATGGGAAGGGTTGGCATGGGGGGACATGGGGTCCCGCTATGGGTCCCGCCTACGCCATACATGATGGCCGGAGGGATGCTTGGCCCCACGATGGATGCACCACTCCTTCCCACTCAAACCACCACTCCCACTTGGACTTCTCTCCGATCCCATGCTCGCCAGGCTTCAATGGCCGCGTCGTCGCCCGTGTTGAAGCAGAGTCCCCCAATTCATCCATCCAGATTCAGCATGGCTCTCTTTTTTTTCTTTTTTTTTTTTTTTTTTTTTTTTTTTTCGTAAATGGCAGCACCATACCGGTATCCCTTCCACCCTCCAAAGACACTGCCACCCATGGCAGGTTACCCAGCATTTCCATGACGGAAAGGGAAAACCTCATTGTGGCCACCACCATCACCGTCCACCGTTGACCATCATTTTTTTTTTCGACCTCTCGTCAGCTCGATTCTTTTCTTTGCGATACACATCTAGTACCCAAAGGGATGCTCGAAATGTCCTTCATAACATGTCGCCTGTAGGCTTGCAGATTGGCCTGATGATGAATGGACAGCCGTATGCATCCGAGAACAGCGTGCATCTGCACATGTGACCCCCCATTTGCTGGTCTGCCGCCATGATAGGGTGTGGCTGTTCTGGGGAAGTGTGGCCAGCAGACGGATGTGGTGGTGGTGGTCGTAGTGGTGTCAATGGTGGCCGTGGACGGTGGTAAGTAAGTGAGTGAGTGAGTGAGATTTGGCGACGACCCTTTTTTTCTTGCAGACCCAACCCAACTCGGGCGAACGTGTCCAACCAACCAACCAACCAACCATCCAGCCCTGACACTTTTTCTTCCGGCCGTCGCTGTCCGAGATTTTTCAGCGACACCTCTCTTTCGCACTCACTCCCTCATCGTGCCCCTCGTCGGTCGGTGAGCCACTATCGCGGCGGCGAAAATGACGGTCCTGTCGCAGTCGAGGAAACGCTGAGCCTCTTTTTCCCTCTCGGTCGCTCGGCCTTCCGGTTCTCGTCTTCGTTTTGCTATCAAGTCGCACGAGGAAATTTGTTGAAGCTGAGCTGCGACGTCTTCGCAGGATTTCGTTCAATTGGGCCATTGATCTCTGCGGTCGGTAGTTCGAGTCCCCACTGACTAGAGATCGGAAGGCCTGTTTCGGCGACCATTGGACGCTGTGCTGAAAAGGCTCGCCAATGAGGGTGTTTGCGCGGCCATGTTCCATCACACGAGCTGAGGAGCACACGTCAAGCGTTCGTCCATATAAGAGCCGCATCGTCCGGGTTCATGAGAAGTGAGGAATGTGATGTCGCCCATGGTGATTTTTGACAAGTTGTCGCCGTCGTCGTTGTCGCCATCTCGGGGAAAAAAAAAGTGTGAGGCTTCCATGAGAATTCTGGAAGAAACAGCAATGGCGGTCCACAACATGGAATCCCATGAGCGTCTTTAAATGTCTGCAGTGACCTCGGACACTTCTCCACATAAAGCTGCTGCAAGATGAGCTGGCAGGGCACCAAGCAGCAGCAAGGTCCAGCACGTCCAGCACAGCACAGCACACACTTTTGCTACACCAAGGGGGACCATGGGCAAAGAGCACGGCAGGGCGGACGGATCTGGCAACATTTCCAGCAATATCAGGCTTTGCCGGGCCATCAACCCCATATAGAGGGTAGATACCGGCCTTATTAGGTTGCTGGCTGGGCTGTCTCATCACGTCGTGTTCGCTTTGCTGTCAAATGTTGTGCCCTGTCTGCGCCCGGGTTGCATATGATGTTTATGCGTTTCGCCCTGTTCCATCATCCATCCGAGGTCCTTCCAGAAAAGGAGGGGAGAACATGGTTCAACTACGTTGCACACAAAGACAAGCTCGGCGGGAGCGAAGGAAGACGGTCCCTGACATATGAAATCAGATACAGCATATATCGAAGTCGGAAACCGTCAGACACCACACCCATCGCAGCCCGTACCTTTTTCTATAAAAGCTTGAGAAAAGTGACCAGTGGTTTGCAAAGAGCGCCACGCAGTTGCAAAGAGTTTCGAATTCCGATGGAAGACAAGGTACGATATGTGGGTATTGTTCCACAGATGGCGATGGCGCCCATGTTGGGACGAAAACGCCAGAACAATGCAGACCCTTTGGCTCATGGATGTTGTCGGTCATTGGTGTTGAGAGATGTGAAGATGACATGGAGGGTTGGGTTTGGCATGTCCGGAATCTGTCCTGGCTTTCTGAGCTTCCCCATCTGGATGTCCTCAGACCTCCCGCTCTGCTCGAGGCATCCAATTCTCTCCATCCGCCATGACAAAGTGAAAGAGACGCGACCTCAAGGAGCCCCAATTCCGGGCTGGGCAATCCATGATTCCAATTCACTCTAGAAAGAAGCCATCGCCAAGTGATGAAACACCAGGGCTCTTCTTACGCCAAATGGTTGGAAAATCGCTGCCCAACGCCGACACATCCCCAAGCACTAATAAAGTGGTGAACTTTTGCCAGTCGAATAGGAATTCCAGGTCATTGCGCGGGGAACGGTATCCAGGTCCGCGCTCTTATCTTGAATTGCCGCTTTTGGCAAGTCACTCCAGCACTCTCGAGCACTCTTACAGCAAACGCCAGACTGGAACACTCCCTTTCGCACCTACTCTAGCCACAAAAGGGGCTTTTTGATATGAATTGCCGGATCCAAATCCAAACAAACAAGAATCATTGCAGAATCATTGCCATTTTTTTGTCATAATCAATTTCAACACCGATTTTCAAGTATTTTCTATATACAAAGCGCGTAGACCAGTTTCTGGCCAAAAGAGGCAATTCAGGATAAGAGCGCGGACCTGAATAACGACCTCCCATTGCGCCGCCGATTGATGGTGGGGTCAGCACGTGCCAGTGAGCTTCATCTGCCGGGCCGTCGCGGACTGCCAATAATCTGCCAAGGACGTGGAGACCTACGGCAGGCAAGATCGCCGGCACAGTACAGTACTCAACGGTGGCACGGCCCCAGCCGGATTGCCTGCCACAAAACTCACTCCCGTCTCGCAGTGTGGACTTGGACTTTTGAATGGCGATCTCTTTGACCCTGCGCCGATACCAATTGACAGTTAGCGCCGACGCCGCGAACGAACAATTCCCATTGCTACGCTCGTCCCCAGACCCTCAGAATTCTGACTGCAACTGGCAACACGCCGAGAACAGCGACTCCCTTTCTTGTTCGGCCCTGCGCGTCGTCTGCTCCCATTCGAGTTCCTTTTACGTCCACCATCGTCGCCGGCCCTTCGATTTCTCTCTTTGGCAGCGCATATTTGCCCCCCCCCGGGCCACAATCGAATAATTGCTTCCCCCCAACTGAAGCGTGGCAGTTCGTCCGTCGCCTCCAACCCTCTCCGGTATCCCAGAGTCGCCAGCAACAGCGGTCCAGTCGCAGTTGAGCATGCTGTCGCAAAGATCAAGGGGCCAAGACAACACCGCAACGGCAACAGAAGAATAACGAAACGGCACCAGTGACCGTCATCTTTCCCTTCCCTCCATCCACGAAAAGCACCACGAAGCACCACGCGCTTTAACCGACCAAGCACTCGGCCACATCAACTTGCATCATTCTACCACCGCTTCACCTTTCAAGCAGACCAGCACCGAGACGTCACCTTCTTTTTCAGCCCGTCGCTCGCTCCACTCTCACCTTCTCATGACCTTTGCGCCTAAAGCCTACCGAGACTCCGCCGCCGAACCGTCTCCTTTTCCCTAGGTTGCCTTCTCGATCTGCACCTTCTTAGTTTTTTCCTCGACCGCCAACTTTGTACAGCAAACGTGCCCTAAGTGCCCTCGACACACAGACACACCGAACCACTACTCACAGTCCCTTCCTATTCGGGTGCGCGCAGGGCGACCCTAGCTGCTGCATCCACCATGGAGGACGGCCGTCACACACCGGAGTCGACGAAGGGATCAAAGTCGGAGGAACACTCCAAGATGAACGGCTTCAAGCTAAAACGAGATGGCGCTAGCAACGGCAGCAATGCCGCCACGCCAAACGGTTCCCAGACTGGAAACTCGAGACCCCCAAGCATGTCGCCCGACGAACACAAGGCCGCGAGTGAGAGCACAGCAACTCCCACCGAGAATGCCCCGACGCAAAGGCCTTCGCGAAAGGCGTCTCAGAAGAACATGAAGAGGGAGCCGGTGCTCTTCAGCCATCTCCCCGACGTGAAGGAAGATGCATGCACACACTTTCAGGTCATTCATGACTGCCTGTATGGTTCGAAGAACATGGGTGCATCCGAGCACGACGCGTTGGACTGTGACTGTGCGGAAGAATGGCGTAAGTGAAAATATCTTCAGCTTCCCCTGGCCGCTAGCGTCGTGTCCGCCTCCCGCCCGCCCGCCGTCAGCCCCCCCTGACCGATTACTGACATCTGACTCATTGTATAGACGGTGATATGAACCATGCTTGTGGCGAAGATTCGGATTGTATCAATCGGGCCACCAAAATGGAGTGCGTGGACGGCGACTGCAACTGTGGTGCCGGATGCCAGAATCAGCGCTTTCAACGAAAACAGTATGCCGACGTGTCGGTCATCAAGACAGAAAAGAAGGGGTTCGGCCTCAGGGCAAACACGGATTTGCAAGTTAACGACTTCATTTTCGAGTACATTGGCGAGGTTATCAACGAGCCGACTTTTCGCAGCCGCATGATCAAGTACGACAAGGAGGGCATCAAGCACTTCTACTTCATGTCACTAACCAAATCCGAGTTCGTGGATGCCACTAAGAAGGGCAATCTCGGCAGATTTTGCAACCATTCGTGCAATCCCAATTGCTATGTCGACAAGTGGGTGGTTGGGGACAAGCTGCGGATGGGCATTTTTGCCGGGCGTGCAATCAAGGCCGGTGAGGAGCTGGTGTTTAACTACAATGTGGACCGCTATGGCGCTGACCCGCAGCCCTGCTACTGCGGTGAACCAAACTGCACCGGCTTCATTGGCGGCAAAACTCAAACAGAGCGTGCGACCAAACTACCTCCTGCCACCATCGAGGCCCTTGGTATCGAAGATGGAGACAGCTGGGACACAGCGGTGGCGGCCACCACCACCACCACCAAGAAGCCCCGCAAGAAGAAGACTACCGAGGACGATGAAGAGTACATCAACCGCTTCGAGCCTCGTGGCCTCGATGAAGAGGGCGTCACCAAGGTCATGGCCACCCTCATGCAGTGCAAGGAGAAATGGATTGCCGTCAAGCTGCTCGGCCGTCTTCAGAATGCGGATGATGACCATGTCCGGAATCGGGTGGTTAAGATGCACGGATACCAGATTCTGAAGATCACGCTCAATACCTTTAAGGAAGACACCAACGTCGTACTACAGATCCTCGATATCCTGTATCAACTCCCCCGCATCACCAAGAACAAAATCACCGACTCCAACATCGAAGCCGCTGTCGAGCCCCTCACCCATTCCGACCACGATGATGTCGCGTCGCAGGCCAAAAGATTGCTTCAAGAATGGAGCAAGTTGGAGACAGCCTATCGCATCCCGCGCAAGAAGCTCGACCCCTCCGCTCCCGTTACCAC